CTATTTGTAAAAATTTTTAATATTAAAAATATTAAAAATTGTGTTTTCTTCATGTGTAAAATACGTAAGATTAAAAAAATTTGTACAGCACTATATACTGTAGTATTATATCACTGCTTCATAGTAAACTGTGCAATTTAAAAAATACATGTTCTCATTTAGGCTGCCACAAATTTCATATTCTTTTATTTATTTCAACAAATCCTACCTCATTCCTTAGAAGGCCCTTCAGGGTGAGTTTTTTTTTCCTCCTATCAAAGGAAAGTAATTATTATTGATGTTTTGTTTTCTAACAAACTAGCTTTCATTAGGTTAGAGTTCAGTTTTTTCGATTGCAAAATGTGATCTTGATAGGCTACGATATGTAAAGACTACTAAACATTCTCTTTAATGTTGGTTAGATGAACTTCCCTATTTAATTAGCCACAAATACAGAATTTTAGTAAGGTGAGGTGGCTACACACAGCAGAAACAGAAATATTTCAGCATAGCTCTCCTTGGGCTTCAGAGTCCCTAATTCAAAGGTTTATAGCTGCTAATGACACAATGTGTCCAAGGTAGGAACTTGCCAGATCTAGGAAAGTTTCCTTCTTATCTGTCTCTTCACACCAGCACTGCACTATTCAGGGGGAAAAACTGCACCAGTAATTTATGTACTTACAGTTAAAGTAATGTTTATAAATAGTATCTACTGGTTCTTGAACCAAATATAGTATTAAAAGGTTATATTCTTGTCCTGACAGGAGAAAGCCAAATAGTGCCCAAGTGTCTCTGAACAGTATTGCAGCCTCCAGCTGTCCAGCATTCTACAAAGCCCTCACTGCACTGCCCCCCCACCAGTCCAATCTGTTTGCCAATTACTTCAAGTATTTGAAACTTCGAAGGAGGAAAAGACTTAAATATGAGAAACTCAACTACCCATCTATTTTTGTTAAATATGCTTGGGCTCTCCCATACTCTACTTACTCTATTTAACTACTCATCATACTCTTGAAAACAACTAATATAGAGCTAAATGTGTCTGACTGAAATTAAAAGTGAATATTCATTAAATTTTTCTCAGTTAAGATATCTAACTGCAGCTGAAATCATAAGGACACCTGAAGTTTCTTTCAGCTTTAAGAACAGTATTACAAAATCGGAGGGGGAGATGAACCATGAGAGACGATGGACTCTGAGAGGCAAGCTGGGGGTTCTGGAGGGAGGGGGGTGATGGGATGGGTTAGCCTGGTGATGGGTATTGAAGAGGCCATGTTCTGCATGGAGCACTGGGTTTTGTACACAATGAATCATGGAACACTATATAAAAAACTAATGATGTAATGTATGGTGATTAACATAACAATAAAAAAAGAAAAAAAAAAGAACAATATTACAAACAAAAAATAGCAGTTAAATTCAGGCTCTTCAGGGACCTGGGCAAAAACATTTTATATGACTGACTATAAAACATTTGCATATTCAATCTTTATTATTTATTATATCCTTAAGAACTGTATGTAAGACGGAAAATCATCTTTGGTTAAAGCATTCTATGATTTTAAAATGCTATGCCATATTATTTTAGCCTTACAAAAGGTATACTAAAGCACCACTGTTCAAGGCTCTCAAATAGAAGCACATTAAGGCAATTTTTATCTACGGAATAAATGAGAATTTTCAAGTGTTTTAAATGAACTCAAGCATTATAATTTAGTCTGAACTAAGAAATTCAGAACTGAGTATAACAGCAAAAAAACTGTTTAAACATAAATATTCTATAAAACTTTGTAGGTTATTTTTTTAAAGATGTATTTATAATATAATTATGGTAGTCCTACAATATCAGTATTTGGAAAAATTTACTTTTGCAATATTTGGAAATATGTATCATTTTAGGATAGTAATCAATCTGGTCTAAACTGTGTGTAAGGAATTTCATTTTAGAAAGTAAGGAACTACAGAAGACTAATGTTTCCATTAAATCTTTTACAGGTGGTATATATGTATGTATTTGATAGTAGCTTTTCAGTGGATTTCAAAATGCATTATTATTGCAGTTGATTTCCTTAAGTGCTGTAACTATTCACACAAGGACTCCAGAGCAGAACTGCTAATCTTTTTCGATTACTGAAACTAAAGCCATGAACAAAATCTGCATTAACTACTCAGTCTCTTACTCCATGCTTTAAACGGGAAAAGGCTGTTGCTCCTGTTTTGTTAATTTTTGACATTTTACCTGTTTATCTTTTATATTGGGATTTTTGAAAGAAATGTAAAATTTAGCTATTCTAACACCAGTAAATACTATCAGAATGTATTATATAGTTTCATAATTCATAATCCCTATTTCATTTGAGTGTATGAGATGAAGATGGGGGAAAAAACAGAACCTTGGAAGCTTGGATATAACAAAACGAATGTGAGAAAGTCAAGAAAATCCAAGTAGAAGAACCAAATAAACAAAAATTCGTATTCTTATTAAAATCTTGGAGGAAAAAAATTAGTAAATTTAAAGCAATCTAATAATATGCCACTCATTCACCTTTTCTTTAAATAAAAGTAAAACAAATTAAAAGGAACTGGCTAAAAGGGAGAAATGATTATGCTTTTAAAACTTGGAAAATATTTAAGAAAGTCTATTTCCTCTTCTCAAAGTTCATTTCAATTTATCAGTTTATCATGTTCAATAAACAAATAGATTAGAAAATGGTAGGTCAAACAGTTTAAATCCTGAGCAAGAAACCTCTACATTTACATTTACTTTGCTTAGATCGAACCCTGTTACTTGACAGGGCCCTCTCCACAAATGAAGAATTAGCAAAATGTCATACTCTACTGGCAATCTGCTATTAACTACGTGTTGCTTTGTAATAAAAAGCCAGATTGATCTATAGCCACTCTTTGTGGGCAGTGAAAAGTAGAAGGGAGTCATCAGCAGCAAACTTTGCCAATACTTCTTCAGAGCCAGCGTCAATGTACAAGAGGTATAAAAAATTGTGTAGCTTGATCCATAGGAACTCCTGAGGTATTAAAGGGTCTATTTTTGCATGACTTGAGTGACTATTACATTAATGAATGTCATTGTAAGCCTTAGATTGCTTGCTCTTCCTCATCTGAATGATGGCAGAATATAAAACAGTGCAAAGAGCAAGCAAAAAACAAGACTTGAATTTGTCCACCTGTGACTAGATTAGGCATTTCAGTCATTTTACAATTTAAACAACGGTAAATTTTAAAAAATTCAAGCAAGACACACCTTCAAAAAGATATATTTGTACATTGCCAATAAGTACACATAAAAGTTTTGTGATGCTTAAAGGAACACTCTTTTTTATTACAAGAGGCAGTTCATTCCAAGAAGTACATTAGACCCAGTATACTGGACTTGGCCAAAGGAAAGTATTATTCAAAATACTTATTCATTACAGATAAGATAAAAAAAATTGCTATATTTAAAAAAATGCTTACAAATGGGATCCAATATTAATGAGTACCTGTTTGGGTATATCAAGAGGTTCTGTAATACCACAGAACTTGTGGGAAATGGGACTTTGAAGAAACAAATTCTAAAAGGTACTAAGAAATTTTGGGAATTAAGTATCATCTTCTTTTATAATTTAAAATGGCCATGTAAGACCATTTGAAATATTCTCAAAGTATGGGTTATATTTTTATATTTAATTTAATTTTTAAAAATACAACTTAAGAACACATTAATGTCTGGCTTTTATGTCCAGCTGTTGTTAATTTCAGTGCTTGTATTCTTTTATTAAAGAAAGCAAAACTGATTAGGTCAATGTCTGGATATCTGGGGGGGAAGTCATCAAGAATATTTAATAAAATGTGTTACTGAATACCATTTCTATTTGAATAGCATTGTTGCTCTGGCAATTAAGAGCAGACTTAAGGTTTCCTGACTCCAATAAGGACCCAGTGTCGAGAGGGTCTTCTGGCCAAAGAGCTCTCTTTAATGTGAACACTGAAGAGGAGCAAGGCAGAATTACTCTATCTTCTCTGACTCCAGCAAAAGAGGAGAAAATGGACGTGACTTGGAGTCAGATCTAGGTTGGGATCCTGGCTATGTGGCCTCTGGGAAAACCACTCAAAACCCATTAGATCTAAGTTCCTCATTCGTAAAATAGCCATAATTTTATCTGGTAACCCATTTATAAGACTGCTATAGAGGTCAATTAAGAATGTGTACTCTGAACTACTTTATAGGCCACACAAGAGCATCTAAGCAGGGTTTCTCAACATCGGTACTCTTGACATTTAAGGCTGGGTAATTCTTGGCTTTTGGAAGATTGTCTGGTACACTGTAGGATGTTTAGCAGCATCCCGGGCTCCTGCCCACCATATATGTGCCACCTGCCACTTGTGACAACCAAACTTGTTTCCAGATGTTGCCAAATATCCCCTGGAGGGCAAATTCATCCTGGTTGAGAACCATTAAGACTATTCTTTCTCTTTTCTCTCCCTCATTATTTTGTACAGTACTGGCTACAGCATTCAGTACATGTGTGTGTATGTGTTCTTAATGCTTACTCATAGACATGGATTAAGATTATACTGCCATTTGCCTAAATTCTCCTGATTCACTCAAACATTGAAAGTAATCACACTTAACAGTATGCATGTTTAAGTGTTCCCACTTCTTTAGTCAAAATATTATTCTCTTAAACACTGTACCTTTCAGCATGGAGGTAAAATGATCTCAAGTACTTTGTTAATTCTGTAAGCACGCCATGACTTAATAAATGAAATTACTATGTGAGAAATGGGTTAACTCTTTTCTCTGAACAGCAATAGTGATGATGTTATAGAATAAAGCACTTTGAAAGAATAAAAATTAATTACTTTAATATAAAATGGTTTTCTACAGATAAAATGCCTAAGAATTATATTATTTATGTTTTATGCATATTTATAATTTATACAGATTTTATATGTATCCTAGTTCCTGGCCATGGGAGGTAATAATAGTTTGTTCATTTAATAGGTACATATTTATTAAACACTATGTGTGAGGCACTGTCAGATAACTGCTGATACTGTCAACCGTAAGTAACAAAGACATGGTCTCTATTCTGTTTTCATTTTACTAGAGGAGAAAATGACCTCTAGGTATTCAACTACGATACAATACTATGCTAAAAGCACAATCACAGGCAGTGTATAGAGTGCTGAGGAATTTACCCAAATCACACCCATGAATGTGTGTGGGAAAAACTGTGTATTTCTTTTTGGGGAAGAGGTGGAGGAAAACCCAAAGCAGATGGAGAAATAAATGATAATTTTGATGACATATATTTACCGATAATGAAGGTCACATATGCCATTTAAGCTTCTGCCTAATATGGTGATTTAGAGTCATCTATGAAATTATTACTATAACAAATAAAAGGAATTTACCAATTAAGACTGAAGTACCATGTGTGAGTTAGGTATAAAAACATGTAATTTGCAAGAAGATTCTCTTGATAACATACAAGAATCAGAATTGACCATGATTCTTTGGCAAGATACCATGCAAAACAGCAAATCTCATTTAGTTTTGTTTCTATTTTCTAGTTAAGGCAAAATGGTATTTAGCAATTCTCTTTTTTCAACTTCAAATTTCACTTGCTACCAACAGAAAGAGGCTTGGAGAGGAAGCCTAGAGGGAACCCCAGAAGTAGAAACTAAGGAAGGAAAGGAGCCAAGGTCAACAAATATTTTTAAATAGTTGTTTCCTCTTTCTGCTGGGTGCAAATAAAGTCTTGGTTCAGCTCATCTGCTCACTTAAAAGCAGGGAGGAAGTTGGTAAAATTCTAGGCTAGTATTCTCCCTTCAGGGAAAAGGTTTACTTTGCCTTCTATTCTACCATCATTTTTGGAGATTTAAAGGTATCCTGTCAAGTCTGCTTCAGTATATATAAATGTATAGTTTTCAATCTGTCTTCCTAATCTCTGCATGCAAGGTATCTCTTTTTATGTCCTAAACAAATTGGAGCAAGAAGCATTTTATAAGTACCAGGGATCATTATTCCGGTCCCATAGCTATTAGACCAACTCAGGTGGTCTATGATACCTGATATGACGATCTCAGGGACATCCAGAATGTTGCCAAATGAAGCAGTTTTACGGTGGCCCCGTTTAGGCTTGGAATAGGCTGCAAAAACATATATATACAGTATACATGCAAACAACCACAAACAGTAACACAGAAAACGATTAACTACAAAAACAGAATACTTTTCAAATAGTTATGTTAATAATACTTCATGCAGAATGGCATGCAGAACTATCTAACTTTTCATTCATGCTTAGAAAAGGCATGATTTAGGAGAAAAATATCAATAAAGATGTCTTACATACTGGTTTTAATTAGCAGGAAAAAAAATAAAAAGGACAGAGACAAACAAAGCTGCAGGGTAATGAGGAAGCTAAATTTCAAACATGTTCAGAGAAACAATCTACCTAAGTGAAATCGCTGATAAGCAATGAAGGGCTAGGATGAAAGTGGGAAGGGAGAGAGGAGTTAAAACGAAATAAGCTGCCATATTTGTTTTAATCACACAAACACAGGAATATATGTTCAAATTAGGTGTTTCTTGAAGTGTGCTATAAATAAAATTTGTGATTATATGATAATTATTGAATCAAAGTGTGAAATGTATATGCTTTTTAAAATAAGTATTTACACATACTTCTATTAAACTGAATATTTACTGTAGTTTCCAAAGTTCAAGGTACATTTCCATTAAATGTGAACAGTATTAAAAGCTGGAGAATATGAGTTTTTCAAAGACAATTCATAAAAAAAATCTGAACTGTATAAAATTCAGTGATGTTCAATGGCATCTGTTCTACATTTAGAGAGGGTGGGATAATTTAATGTGTGGTTGTTTTTAACCTAGTGAAATATCACTTCTGTAAGGAATAATTATAAACCAGTACCTGACTAGAAAATTGACACTAGCAAAGATATAAAACTGTTATAACACCACTTCTTATTTTAGAGTAGTAATCATTATTTAGCACATCTAACTTGAATGATATCCTTGAAGTGGAAAGGTTCCCCAAGTGTGAAGATATGTCACTGTGTGCACTATTCATCTGCCACTACACTCAGACGCCCTCACTCCACAGGAAAACACTTGCGACTCAGAGACCAGGAGGGCTTGTTAGTGGCTGATGAGCTCCATTCAACTTGATCATTTATAAAGATCCATCTGTGTGGTACAAAGACTTCCAGTCCCCTGCCAATCTCTATTCTTCCCCTCTTTCTAGCAACAGAACCCTGACTTTACTCAGGACAGCAATGTCCCCAGATAAAAGATCACAGATCCTTTTTTCCCTTGCAGCCAGGTGTGGTCATTTGACCATATTACTATGGCCAAAGGCATCTATATGGAAGTTGTTAGGGGGAACTTCTGGTAAAGATCCTTGAAAGAGCTTGGGCATGGGCCCTTTGGCCTTCCCCTAATTTTCCTTTCTTGCTGCCTGGACTGTGGATGTGACAACTGCAATTATGATAGCTATTCTGGAGCACAAAGTTACCTTAAGGATGGAAGCCACACCACACAATAGGATTGTGACCCAGAAACAGAGGAGCTCAGTTGCCTAATGATCATAGAGCCTACCTTCAAATTTCTTTATGTGTGAACAAGAAAGCTTATGTGTTAAAGACACTGCTATTTTGAATATTCTGTTATAGCTAGCCGATTCTAGTGCTGATATAATCAGTGTTCATTAGTAGATGAAGACAAGTACAATATGTTGGTCCTCTGGAAAACTTCTGAAAAGAGCTCCACAAAAAATGAGAATTTCTATTTAGAAAAAAAGAAAAACAACAAATGAATGAGAAAAAAGACCTTAAAAAAAAAAAACAACAAAAAAACCCCAAACAAACCTGGTTAGCTAAGTTAAAAAATATATATACTAATATACATGAAAATACACATGTATACACATATATGGTTAAGAGACCAGAGGTAAATACACAAAATTGTTAAGTGTTTATCTCTTAAGTGGGACAATTATGGAAAACTGGTTTTTTTTGGTTGTTTCCATTTTCACATTTTCCATAAAAGAAATGTATTTACTTTTATAATTAGCTCCCCTCTACCCCTGGAAGAACTGGAAAGAAAACAAACCAGCATTACTAAGCTCAAACCTGGTTAGAAAGAAGGTTACATGTTCACTCAGGTAATAAAACATATACAATTGACCCTTGAACAATATGGGTTTCAATTGCGTGGGTCCAATTATATGTGATTTAAAAAAAAATACAGTATAGTACTGCAAATGTGTTTTCCTTATAATATTCTTTTTTTTTTTTTAAAGATTTTATTTATTTGAGAGAGAGACAGTATAAGCAGGGGGAGCAGCAGAGGGAGAGGGAGACGCGGACTCCCTGCTGAGCAGGGAGCCAGATGTGGGGCTGGATCCCAGGACCTGAGCCAAAGGCAGACACTTAACTGACTGAGCCACCCAGGTGCCCCTAGTTTCCTTACAATATTCTTAATAACATTTTCTTTTCTCTAGTTTACTTTAAGAATATGGTATATAATACATATAATATACAAAACATGTGTTAACTATTTGTTATTGGTAAGGCTTCATTCAGATCAACAGTAGTAGTTAAGTTCTGGGGGAGTCAAAAGTTACATATGGATTTTCTTTCTTTCTTTTTTTTTTTAAGATTTTCTTTATTTGAGACAAAGCGAGAGAAAGAGAGCAAGAGAGCATGAGGGTGGGGGGGAGGTGAGCAGAGGGAGAAGCAGGCTCTCCAATGAGCAGAGAGCCTGACACGGGGCTTGATCCCAGGACCCTGACATCATGACCTGAGCTGAAGGCAGACACTTAACTGACTGAGTCACCCAGGTGCCCCTGGATTGACTGATTGATGTTCTTTCTCTTTCCTTCCTTCCTCTTTCTTTTTTTCTTCCTTCCTTTCTTCTTTCTTTGATTTAATTTTTTTAGGTTTGACTTATTTATTTATTTAGAGAGAACAAGCCGGGGGAGGGGCAGAGAGAGAGGAGAGTGAGAATCTCAAGCAGATTCCCTGTCAGACGCACGACTGACTAAGCCAGCATGTGGATTTTCAACTGCATGGTGGGTTGATGCCCTGAACCCGGGCGATGTTCAAGGGTCAACTGTAATTGTTTTTGTGCTAACCAGTCCTTCTGTAATTAATCATTTTAAGAACTGAAAAAATGGAATTCAAATGCTGGCTTTTTCAAGATTGAATAAAATTACCATGATATTTTATATAACAATTAAAAGAACTAGCTACACCCAACTTAGCTATTTTTGCTACTGGAAGGAAGAGGGGCAGACAGTAAGGCCAAATCATATTTGGATCTAGAGTACGTTTTTCTGCTAATTTCAAAACAAAATATTTGCTATTATTTGAAGTCAGCACAAATTCTAGTAGAATCACTAAAAATCCTCTAAAACATTCTGGTTTTGGTAAAATTTCAATTTCCCACTTAAATTTTCAGTTCACGTTTGAGCTGAAAGAATTACATTTGATAAAAATATATTTTATGATCCAAATAATTTTACAAGTCATACCTGCTTTATTTATGGAACTGGAGAAAAACATACAAATTATTTGCTAGAAGCTTAGAAAGTATATTGTAAGCCTACTTCCTGCTTTAAAAAAATTTATGACATAAAAAACCTGACATTCCCACTACTGAAACAAAACTACTCTTTCCACTCCTCTTCAGATTTTTATTTCCTTTTTACCTGTGGTCGCAGCAATCCTGGCTTCTATTTCAGACATGTCAGCACTCATCCTCTTGCCCTCAGAGGTTGGGGGCAAGCTCTCCACACTGCTCCCACGGGAAGCTCCCAAGCTTAAACGTCCCGATTCACTCTGTTAAAATTACAGGTCAATTTGAATTACTGAAGCTCTTTAAATTGAAAAATCCTGGGCAGCCTAGGAGGAGGAAGATATCACCTGAGATTCTTAATGGATTCTGTTCTGAAAGAAAAGGGAAGTTTTAGGGAGAGGGAGCTGCAGCGGTAAGGGAGAGAAAGCTACAGACGCTGCCTTTAGGAAAGGGCAGTCACTGGAGTTGGGAGTTAAAGGCTACAATTATTAGTTAACCTAAATGCCTCAGGTAAGATGAATAAAATCACTTAAAATACTTTTAAATCAACAACAGCAAAAATATAATAAATCTGAACAATACGAAATGATAGACTTAGGACAAACTCCTTTAACTGGGTAATAGAACCAAGAAATAACCATTTTACTTTTTTTTTTAGCATTTTACATTTTTAATCATCAACATTAAAGTTAGGGAACATCACAGGGAAGGAGCTGCACTGTGGCAAAGGCAGCAATCATCAGGAGGGAAAATAATTTGGTGATAAACAGTAGGAAAATCTCATTTTATGTCTCTATTCTGTCTGCTTTAGGAACAAGATTCAGCACTTGTATAATGGAAGATGACAAATAATTTCAGTTAGTATAAAGTTATGACTACTAGTAAGGTCATCATATGATTTTACTTTTAGTAACAAAACAAACCTGTTGCTTTGCCTGATTTTTCAACAATTTTGATTCTAAGCGTTTAATAGTATCATTTGTGGCAGGAACTTGCTCCATATTAGTGTCACTTTTATTACTGGTATTTGTAGAAGCGATGTCCATGAACGAGCCTAGGAAAGCAGAAATATTTATGATTACAGGTTGGGAATAATACAGATGCTTCATTCAATAATATGTAACTTAAATTCTTTCCGAAACTAACAAGACATGAATAGAAACAAAATAAGACTTTTTGAGCCAATGAAGATATCCAAACTCATTTTAAATGAAATTTAAGGATAGTACAAAAAGGGAACCAAAATGTTTAGTCTCCGAATAGTCAAGGATGACTAAGGTTTTCAGCCTCAGCTAGTAAATCACAGTTTAGGGAATAAATCCTTAATTAAGATGAGGAAGACCATGGGAGAATTAAGTTTGAGGGGAATGTCAGGAGCTTAGTTTTTGGAAAATAGTAAGTTTGAGTTCCTATTAGATATCAAGTAAGTAGCTGGATACAGGAGTAAGAGGTTCAGGTCAGGTGTGAGCAAAGTATCAGCAAATAGAAGTATACAGAGTTATGATATTAGATAAGATTACTGAGGAAATGAGTGTAGAGAGATAAGCAAAAGAGCCTTAATGACTGAGCCCTAAGCATGCTGACATGAATAGGTTGGGAAGATAAAAAAAATTACCAGCAAAGGAAACTATCAGAGAAAGTGGCCAGAGATAGAAGATGGAAACCCAGGCTAGTATGGTATCCTAGAGACCAACTAAAGAAAGTGCTACATATAAAAAGAAAGTAATGAACTGTGTCAAATGTTACTGAAAGCCAAAAAAGATGATAACTAGGGGCGCTTTGGTGGCGCAGCTGGTGAAGCGTCCGACAAGATCTTTGTTTTGGCTCAGGTCATGATCTCAGGGTCATGAGATCGAGCCCCAAGTCAGGCTCTGTGCTCATCAGGGAGTCTGCTTAAGATTCTTTTTCTGTCTCCCTCTGCCCCCCTGCCCTGCCCTACTTGTGCATGCTCTCCCTCCCTTCCTCTCAAATAAATAAATCTTAAAAATAATGAGAACTGAAAATCATTTCAATTTAGTCATGTGGAGACAACTGGTGACCTTGACAAGAGCAATGCTGGAGTAGTGGTATAATAAAAGCCTGAATGGACTGGGCACTAGAAAGAATGAGGAAGAGAGAAGCTAAGAGGATGCAAATACAGACTATATATACCCTGGGAATGATTCCAATAGAAAGGCTGATGATGCAAGAGACTGAGGGAAGAACTGCTGGGAAGAGCAGGTGGGATACAGTGCACAAGGAGACAAACTTGTCTCTGGTGAGGAGCATGGAGAGCTCAGCCATAGTAACAGAAAAGAATGGAGAGCAGATGGGCACAGATACAGGTAGATGGGCAGATGGAGTAGGGGAGCTTCTGGAAGCTATCTTCTGATTGCTCCAATTTTTCTAAGAAATAGGCAAATAGGATCAGCGGAAAGTGAGGAGTGAAGAGATATTTGAAGTTTGAGGAGAGAGGCTAAAGTATAAAATTAAGTCATCTAGGAGAGAGGAGACAGACTAAACTATAGTACAACCATCCAGCATCACTAAATCACTAAGGCATTTGAAGAGAGTAAACATGTGTTGTTTCCAGCCACATTCAGCTGCACTGGTACAGGCAAGGGCAAGCCAAGTGTCAGATTTAACCACTTGTGGTTTAGCCAAATAAGTCTAAGACAAGAAATTATAATAACTACCTGGAATTAAATGAAGGGAGGATGAAAGCAAAGATCTGAGAACTGTGGCTCAGTGAAAAGATGGAAGGATCAAAGGCCTGAAGGTCACCGTACTTAAACAGTTTGGAGGTGGTGGTAGAAACAAATAATGGAGAAGTTCACTTTAGAATTCAGAACAACTTAAAGATTTTCAGTAAAAATAGAATTTGGGAGTAACTATTAAATCAGCTTAAAATAAATGTAATTATTTTTGAGGTGGGGGAAACAGATGAGCAAAAATATTTGTCAGTAAAAATAAAATTTTCAGTACCAGATAAATATATGTGTACATATACAGGTACACATGTACCTTTTAGTTGTAATTAAATTAATAATGAATGCTTAAAATGCCATATATTTTGAAAAGCACAATTTTTCTTAGAGACTTATTTCTGCTTTTTGATGACCACAAACTACAGATTCCACTACTACTCTGTATTTATTTATTTATTTTTTTAAAGATTTTATTTATTTATTTGACAGAGAGAGACACAGTGAGAGAGGGAACACAAGCAAGGGGGGGATGGAGAGGGAGAAGCAGGCTTCCCGCCGAGCAGGGAGCCCGATGCGGGGCTCGATCCCAGGACCCTGGGACCATGACCTGAGCCGAAGGCAGTTGCTTAATGACTGAGCCACCCAGGCGCCCTACTACTCTGTATTTAGAAAACTAATGAACTTTGAACTAAAAATAAGAGTTCTTAAATAAGAGTTTCTATAGACTCTTCTACAAAGACCAAAAAGTAGAGTGTTCATGATGAAGAAATATGCTGTTTTTTACATTTACAATGATTCCTAATATTATGTGATCTACCCGTATCTGTGTAAAAAACGATTTTATTTTTCAAATAAAGAATGACATTCCCAGGGCGCCTGGGTGGCTCAGTCGGTTAAGCGTCTGCCTTTGGCTCAGGTCATGATCCCAGGGTCCTGGGATCGAGTCCCGCATCGGGCTCCCTGCTCAGCAGGGAGTCTGCTTCTCCCTCTCCCTCTGCCTCTCCCCCTGCTTGTTCTCTGTCTCTCTGGCAAATGAATAAATAAAATCTTTAAAAAAAAAAAAAGAATGACATTCTCAGCAATACAATATCCCATATCTTTTTATATTTAACTATGCAAGAATTCTAAGACTTGGAAGCAGGTCTTTAGTAACTCTTTAATCTGGGTACCTTCATGAAGAATGATGCACCTGGAAACCCAAATTGCAGTCAATCATACGAAATAAAGAAATTAAAATGCAAATGGAGACATCATTCATTGCCTCTTGATTATAATTTCATGGGAAAAGACACACAAAAAATTAGGGTTATTACTCTTCCAATCTACCCACTTACCTGTACTGGTAGCAGAGTTGCTCTGTCCTTCATCTGAATACTGACAAGGATACTGTAATGGCTCATCTGCTCCTGGAAAGTACTATATATGAAAAAGGAAATCACAATTTAAAATTTCTTTAATACAAAATAAATCCTGCAAGAATTAACTTGAAGAATACACATTATTTACTTGTCCTGGGATGTGAAAGTAGCAGAGATGGTGCTTTATTTTCCCTAAGGCATATACTGAATTTACAGATGGCTAAACTCAGTATATGCCTTAAGTTTTTTTTTAATTCTATTATGTTAATCACCATACATCATTAGTTTCTGATGTAGTGTTCCGTGATTCATTGTTTGC